TACAGGGTATTTCTTCCATTTGCTGTTGCCTGGATTTTCCTCGAAAAGTGGATCTTCCATTCAATAAATTGCCTTAATATCTTCCAAAATACAGCACAGTACTATACCTGATAGTTTAGGAGACGGTTTAAGGTCTGTTGTAATTACAACCAATGGATTATTTTTCGGGTGTTTGGGGCCTAAGACTCAAGAACTGCTCGAACGCTGTTTGAACATGTTTGAACCATCTCCCTTTAAGAACCCATCCTCAAAATTCCATTCGACTCAGCTCTAGGGCATAACAAGTGTTCCTTTTTCACATGCACTCCATTCGCGTCCGCGCGTGCGACTGTCGTGCAAAAGAACGGCTTAAAAGGCTTCTGGCGACCACGGCCGGGTGGCTTTTTCCCATGCGGCAGAAACGGCCCGGCAGCAATGAGGTTCAAAAGGTCCGTCTGAGATTGAAGAGAGCTGTGCACTGGACCAAAGAGTAGGTAGGTGACATGGAAAAATCGATGTTCATCATTTTAGAATATGTTTAACATATATTCCCACTGGGTCTTGTTCTTGGGGTCCCGCACTGAAAATCATGTGGCTGTGGGTCCAAACCCGGGGCCTGGTTGAATCATGTTCAATCTGTTAATTTTCCTCAACGAGTGAGTCCTCTCCTCCCATCCGAAATCCATCACTCCGCAGAAGTTCGGTCGGTGACCGCTCGCTCCGCGAACGAGGTCGGGCGCGGTGAACGAGCCGCTGAGCTTGCGCTTCAGCAATGCCAGCCTGGAAGCAGGGAAGGCGGGGCAGAGATGCATAAGCGAGTGGGGAGCGGCCCCAACATATCCAGGATTGGCACGCGCGGGTCACGAGGCTGAGGCCGCTTTGGGGGTGAGGTCATCCTTATTTTGGGCCCGTCGAAAGGGTTGGGCGGGCCAGGCCTCCAGGTGTGTGGCTTTTGGCCTCGCTCCTTGGGTCGACGAAGTGGAGGCGGTTTTCTTTTTTATCACTGGACCAGCTGCCCGCTGGAGAAGGCGTTGTCTTTCTTTGCTTCTGCAAAGAGTTGCACACTGACTTTGGTGGTTTGAATCCACCCTGGTCCGTATTGCTTCATCGCATCGTCACATCGTCGTCATTTTTTCTAGTACTGCCCGGATATTGTTTTGCGTGTTGTGGTTGGTGTGGCTTCGAAGGCCTACACGGTGGGCGTGCGTGTCTTGAACCCCGGTGGCCGACCACCAGAGTTGGGAGCTCGGAGGGATGGGTGGGAGCGCAGCTCAGGTTTTTGCTGCAGTCCTTCGGTTCCTGCAAGAATTGGGGAAGCTGGACATGTTGTAGATGTTTCCTCTTGGAAGAGCACTACTGAAATGTTTTTGGAATTTGGTTGTGGTCTGTTTTATGAAACGTCAGCTAAACTTGGGCACATGTTTGCTTGGAGGGTGTTGATGGGCTCTCCAAAAATCAATTCACGGATAAATGTGTTTCTTTTGTGAAGATCCTAGCATATCTGGTTTGGAGTTTGCCTGGGAGGCTTTTTGATCAGACACAAGAGTAGAAAAGGTCTGGGTGGAGGGTGCATACGACCGCACCCTGGATCATCCTGCAGAAAGCTGCAAAGAAGTATCATTCACCGTCTTCTGATTGCACTGTTCCTTTTGTTCCGCACATCGGACACCTATATACAGTTGATGACAGTTTGGGCATTGTGAAATCATGGCAAAGAGATGCAAAAAGTGTTTCAACCAAATTATGTGACACCATGCTCAGCACATGGGCTGACCTGGTCGATTCAAGGGTTCTCCAATTCTTTTCGCAAGCAAAATACAAGGAACTGGCAGTCACAGGCGTCCCACCGGTCAGAGTGCTCCCTAATTGAAGTTGTTGGTTCGACCACCTTTGCAGTGCACTGCCTTCAGGGTTCGTACTCGGCCCGGCAGTTTTTCCCCACAATTCTTGACTCCGAAGGGCCGAAGACTGCACAGTGGCCAAGAGTTGAGCCAGCATACGTTCATTGATGGGATCAAGATGAGTCAGGTGCATTTTTTTCTTTGACTGGAGAGAACCATCAGTCTCAATGTGCCCGCAGTCTCAAAGACCTATTCCAGGACGAAAAAACTAGTGGCCACTAAGGTACCATGTTGGGTCCAGGTACCTTCATTTTGGCCGTTTCCCGACGTCCCCACGTCCGCCCAGTGCCACCAACTACTGGGGCATCTCCTTGCAGGAGCTGGGCTTACCGATGGACTTGTCTCCAAACACGAAGAACTGCCCTACGTTTTAGGAGCATTCAATGCACCAGCTACTTTGAGGGGATCTCCTTTATTCTGAGATAACGCTGGTATATCCGGGGCCCATGAGATCTTAGAGGAAGATGGGTCCCCATTGCCATAATAAGTTTGGACAATCTGGTATTTGTCCTGGACGTTCATCGCATTCACATATGGACACGGATTATTTCAGGTGGCACCCACGTGACTGGACTGATGCATGCGGCAGTGGTTAGGCTCCTTTGAGGACTTCAACTCCGACCGTATTTGTAGAAATCGGGATGTGTTCGCCAGCTGACAGTGGAGTCTCCAGCATGAAGAGTGGAAGAGTGGAGCATGGAAGAGCACTTGTTCTTCCAGAGCCTCCTTGTCAGGACCATACTAGAGCTACCTTTGATGCGAATCTACGCATTCCGGGGTCGGGCTCCGAGCATGTTCGACAATGTTTAGCGTCCAGACGGGTTCGTATATCCTTGGAGAGGGTACTTGGACCCTTCCCAGAAGGTAGCATGGCTTCACATCCACATCACGCATCTCAGCAGAGGGTAGGTGATGAATATATGCTGCAGGCATACACAACCAGGGTATTTAATTAATATTAATTAATCTTAGTTGATGACAGATCAGATTGCCGGTCATTGACTCTTGACATGAAGAAACACATGAGCATGCAGCTATGCCTGAAGACATTGGTTAGGGCAACATAGCATGCCAAACATGTTTCGAGGCGAAGGGAACCTTTGGAAAATCGCTGAGATCACCCAAGTGGGGATCGCACCATTCCTTGCGCCCCAGGAACTGCTTGAAACCACACACTCCATGTGGTCAACAATTTCAATTTGATCCTTTTGTAAGCACTCAGGCTGACAGGTGCTGCGCAAAAAATGGCTGAAGAAGGTTGACAATCGTAAAGCTTTGAAGGAAGTGGGATTGAATATCATGACTCATGACTGAATATCATTCCAGATGTTTCAAAGTGTCCTCCTGATGTCCTTTCTTTGAGGTCACTGTTACAAGGGTTACTTTGGTTCTTTCACTGCCTTGAAGGACCAGGTACCCGATACCCAAAAAAATCCAAAGTCACCCCACACATCGTGTTGAACTGAGGTTGGTGCTCAAATCCATTCCCATTCGCTGCAATGGCTTGGGTGGCGTCACCTAGGGAGTTTGGGTCGAGTCGGGCGAAGGGAACGAAGCGAACGGCTTCGGCTTCAGCTCGCACCGTGGGCAGCTCGCACCATGACAGCAAAGCACATAATACTGTATTCCAGCAATCCCCTGGATGGAGGAGAAGAGGGAAAACCCATTCCAAACCCCAAATGCTCTTGGCTTAGTCTTCGCAAAGGTGAAATACGTAAAGGCCCAGGCATGTCAAAATGTTCTAGGTATTCGGATTGGGTATCGGTATTTTTTTTAAACTGTGCATCCTGAGAATTAATCTAAGATTCTTCTATGAAGTGTGGGAAGCTGTCCCACTCTCTCACTCTCTAGAGCAAGCTTCTGGCAAGTAAACCATTTCGTTCAGTCTGTTCAGAGGGAAATTTTTACAAGGTGGTGCTTAGACTCCAGAGTGAGAGGGTCAGCTTGCAGGTTTGAAGACTCCAAAGCCAGGTTTGAAGACTCCAAAGACTCCAAAGCTATGGATACATTAATATTTATATCTTCATGTTGAGAGGTTTGATCGGGATGTCCGAGTCCATCTCCAATGTGTTTTTGGTTCGTGCCTCTTGTTCTGTGTTCTTGTCCAGCACTTTGGACAGCTCTTCAGACCCTAGGATTGCAACTTTCTGGGGTGGAGGAGTAGAAACACCTCACGCATTTTCTCGTGGTTGTCGCCAATATGTATACTGTACACTCCATGGAGTTATCATGGAAGCGGATGGTATGGTCCCTTGGATGACCATTCTCCTCTACAAACCGGTGATGCCATCCACTTCCATGATAATTCCAATGAGACCCACGGAGTGTTTGTATATATATACATACATATACAGTATGTTTGTATGTACAGCCCATATATACTCCGCTAGGGTACTGCAGACACGTGACTCTTGACGTGTTTTGGCTCAAGGGAAAAAGGCGTTCCGTAACGTCGAAACCTCGTTTTCATGGTAGCGCGTGAGCCCGGTGAGAGCGAAAGGGACAAAGCGCTGCGCATCAAGGAAGAGAGACACAGTAAGGTAGAGACCTCTGAGGAGGAGGATCAAGAGATCCCGGGAGCGGCCGCTTCGGCCGCCCCGAGTGGAAAAGAAGAGAAGGAGGAGGAGCCTTTGCCAGCCACATCAGCGGCGGAACCAGCCGCAAACACCACTCCGGCGGTTGTAGGAACTGCCGAAACAACATCAGCGGTCGAAGGAACCGCGGAAACAAAAGAGGAAGAAGAAAAGACCACAAAAGAGAAAGAAGGAGGAGAAGAAGAAAAGCCTGAGCAAGACCCCATAGTAGAGCCAGAGGCTGAAGCGACTGATCCAGTCGCGCAGCCATCCTCATCTGGCCGAGTGATCGCCGATTTCCAAACCTCCCCAGAAGGTGTCAAAACAGGTTGGGAGGTCCGTGGCATTCACGCCAAATATACCCCAGCCAAAGTTGATCCTAAGGCACCTTGGAGGGTGAAGAAGAACATTTGGGGACAGGTCAAGAAGCATCCAGAGCCACAATCCGGATTTCGACTTCGAAGCAAGACCTCGCTTCAATACCGGAGGCTCAAAGACCTGGTCAGGTTGCAGAAGAAGAAGGGTGTCATCACAGAGGACTTGAGGAGGCGCATCAAAGAGTTCGGAAAAGGGCGCACTCCACAAGAGATCAAAGAAGAGCGGGAAGAGCAGAGGATCCGCAATCAAGAGAAGCGGACCAAGAAAAGGAAGACCTCAGAAGCGGCTGATCCAGCCGAGGAGGAGGAGGTCGAAGAAGAAGAGTCGGTGAGCCAGCCAAGTCCGGTTCGACAGCCTCGAACACCGGACGTCCGGCCACCGCCGGCTAAGCGACCGCAAACCCGCGACACCCAGCGGGGACGGGCGGTCTGGGGGCGTGCACTGGAGTTGAACCTCCGCATCGTCGCCCTAGCCAACGAACGGGCCCAGCGATTGACGATAGAAAATTGGAAATTAGAGAGCCCGTTCCAAGTGCGAAAGTTTGCGGCCGACGAACTTTGCGAGCAACGGAATCTCAAGGGCACCGTTGCATTGGCCGCCATTCGCGAATTGTGGAAGACCCCCAACGAACAAGGAAAAAGAGGATCCAACGAGGCTTGTAGTTCTTGTGACGAACGGCGGCAGGCACAGCTGCCGGTGGTGAAGGACTACATCAAACGGCGAGGACTTAAGGGACCTGCCGTTCTTGGATCGAGCGCCAAGTCCAAAGCGGCGCCAGCGTTGAGCCTGACACCTGGGCCGAAAGTGAAGGCCAAATCAAAGGCCGGACCAAAAGGAAAGGCCAAACCATCCGCCGCGCCAAAAGTAGCGGCTGAAGCGAAGGCCACAACTGGACTACTGTTGAAGTCCGCGGAGTGCCAAAACCTTCCGATCCTTGACCGGGCGAACCGCCCGCGACTGCCGCTGGAAAAGGAGTGAGCGGCAGCAGCAGCAGGGGTTGAGGGTAGGAAACCATGGAACAACAGATCCAACAACTGAGTGAAATGGTACTTCAACTCCAACAGAACCAAGCAAGGTTGGAGCAAGAGAATCAAGTGTTGAGGGAGTCTCAAGGTGGGGTATCAATGCTAGCTTCAGCTGTAGGAGAATTGGCTAAAAGCCTCGAGAAGAAGGATGATAGGAGAAAGTCCCAAATCCTCATGGACACCAAAGGGTTGGGACGGCCCGAGAGTTTTGGGAATGTTGAAGGGGATTTTCGAAAATGGGCCAGGAGCATTGATAACCTGTTCATAACTACTTTTGGGAGAGAGTTCATTGAAGTCCTGGAGTATATTTTGGAGCAGGAAGACGCGATTGAATTGAGTGCTATGGAGTCCGCATTTGGGACTGGAACCATAGCAGCCATAGATGATCTAGAGGATAAAGCTGATCAGATTCATCGCGTGCTCCTGACCCTAACCTCAGGGGAAACAGAAGATTTGATGGTAGGAGCTTCAAACGGGTTCGAAGCATATCGGCGAGTTCACCGCCGTTGGGATCCCCGAACCTCGGGACGGAAACGCAATATACTTCGAGCGATTCTCCAACCGGAGCGAGTCAAGACGTGGGCCGCGGTGAGGCCAGCGATCGAACAGCTCGAAGAGCTCATCAGGAGGTACGAGTCTCGAAGGAGTGCCGCAGGGACCAGGGAGACTCTATCGGACGACATCAAGTCCGCTTCATTGGAGATGCTGGTACCCCAAGATTTGGAGAAACATCTTTTGTTGAACAAGAGTAGATTGACAACCTATTCGTTGATCAAGCAAGAGATTGAACTTGTCATTGAAACATCCCTCACATCAAAGTCATCTGTTCCAAAACCAGGTTCATCAAGTTCGAGTTACCAAGGACCTCAACCCATGGACGTCGATTCGATCGGACAATGGATCGCAAGCCTGGTCAAAGGAAAAGGTAAAGGAAAAGGTAAACAGGCCAAAGGTGATGGGAAGAAAGGCTCAAGCAAAGGGGGTTCAAGTAAAGGCTCAAACCCGGCTCAAGATATTACCTGCTACAATTGCGGTAAGAAAGGACACCGAGCGGCCGATTGCTGGAGCAAGAAACGGCCGGATGGAAAAGGCGATAAGTGGTCAGGTTCAGGCAAAGGAGACAAGAGTGGTAAAGGTGGCAAAGGCAATAAAGGCAAAGGTGGACGAAGCGGCAAAGGCAAAGCTGCAGGAAGTATGGAAGAGATGGACGAACCGGATGATGGCATTGAGCCAGCTCCGGAAGCCGATGTCGGCATGCTCATGGCAGATTTGAGTGGACTTGGAATGGCGGATACCTCATCCGCCGAAGAATGGATGAAGTTTAACCTGGACACTGGAGCAGCCCAGACAGCCATCCCGAATGGCTGGGAGGATCGAGTGGTTGTCAGTGAAGGCAACGGAGTTGTGTTCAAGACTGCATCAGGGGAGTTGGTGCCCAGTCAGGGCATTGGAACCTTTGAAGGGTTCGATGAGAGCGGCAACAAATGCCGCGTGAAAGGTTCAATGGCTGATGTTCACAAGCCATTGATTTCAGCATCCAAGTGCTTAGGCTTTGGAAGGATTGCAGTTCTTGATGCAAATGGCGGAAACTTGATTCCGCAAGGGTCCAAAGTTGGAAAGGCTGTCCAGGCAATCCTGGAGAAAGCGAACGCTGCAGAGCAGCGGAGTTGGATCCCTGTATATCAGGAGCAGGGAGTTTACAACTTCTACTTGAGGAAGCCAGGGTATAAACCGACAAAGGAATGCTGTGGCATCGCAGAGTTGAACGCCACGGGAGAGAGAGGAGATGCCTCTATGGATTCAGGCCGACCTGGTCCAGAGGGGCGAGAAGAGGATGATGAGTTGGAATTAGTTGATGAGGTTGAGAAACCCATCCAGATAAGAGCACCGGAGGACCCAACTCCGGCTGAGATCGAAGAGCACGAGGCGACAGGCCATGTGCAATATCGAAGTTGGTGCCGGCGTTGCATTGCTGGACGGGCCGTAGGACAGCCACATCGGACGAGGTCCGAGGAAGAGAAGGCCAAGAGCCTTGTGCCCACAGTGGCAATGGACTACACGTTCATGTCACGGGGCGGTGTGGAGGACGAGCGAGTGAAGCCGATCCTCGTAGTGAAGGATGAGAGGACACAGTCCTTAGCGGCGACCTTCGTGGACTCGAAGGGAGCGACGCCGTATGCAGTGAAGTTCGTGGCGAACTTCCTGAAGAACTTGGGACACCGCAAGGTGGTTCTCAAGTCGGATGGCGAGCCATCCGTGGTAGCCTTGAAAGAGGCAGCGGCGAAAGAAACCGGCATAGACTGGGTTTCGGAAGAGTCGCCAGTAGGAGACCATCAGGCGAATGGTCTGGCAGAGAACGCCTGCAAGGAGGTCAAACGTCAAGTACGAGTCCTCCGCAGCGCGTTGGAAGAGAAGCTCGGCAGAGAGCTCAAAGATGATGATCCTGCATTGGCATGGCTGCCAAGGCAGGCAGGAGACCTGCTGAGCAGGTACAAGAAAGGCCAAGACGGCAGAACACCTGAGGCCAGAAGATGTGGAAAGCAATGGCGGAAACCTGCCATAGCTTTTGGCGAACGCCTATACTTTAGAGAAGTAGGCGAGGGAGTCCGCATCCTGAAAGAAGGACGCTATGTAGGGCACCATGGCCGAACAGGATCCATTTTGGTGATGACGGCCAACGGTGTGCGAAGAGGCACAGGAATCCGGCGGCTGAGTTCAGCCGACCGCTGGGACCCAAGTGATTGGGACCTTTTGCGGGGCTTACCGTGGGAGCACTCCGCGGCAAGGCCTGCCGGTGAGCAGTTGATGCTCGAAGAGCGTCTTGTGGTACCACCTCCCAAGGAGGAACGAGTGGCACCACCACAGCAGAGGCGAGTGTACATCAGGAGAGAGGATGTGCACAAGCATGGAGCCACAGAAGGCTGCCCAGGATGCAGGTGCATCTTGGAAGATAAGAGGACGACCTTGCCGCACACAGAGGCGTGCAGAGCAAGGATCACCGAAGCAATGGAAAAAGATGAAGCTGGGCAAGCGAGACTTGAAGCCCATGCAAAGAAGAGGAAAGAACGGCAACAGCTTGACACTGTGAAGCCGAAAGTCGTGGCCGACAAGGACTCCGACATCCCAGCCGAAGACGCGGCTGGGGAACCAGAGAAGAAGGAAGAAGCAAAGAGCGCAGGGTCGGGAAGCTCACCGCCAGCAGTAGCAGAGGGAGAGAAAACCTATCCCGATGACCCGAAAGAGAGATATGAGATGAAGAGGCAAGCAGCCGAGATAGAGAAGAAGCCAGTGGCGAAAGCCAAGGTAGCAACAGAGCCCAAGAAGAGAACAGGAGAGCTTCGGATAGATCCACCTGGGGCAAAGGTCAAGCCGAACCCAGCACAAGGAACAAAGAGGTTGGCAGAGACCGCCGTAGAAGACCTTGATCCCAGAGTGGAAGAGAGTCCAAAGAAAACGTCTCAGTTTTCACATGTTCCAGAAACACAACCAGCAGGGTGGAGGCCAGATGCAGCCAGCTTGGTAAAAGAGAAGGAGATCGCAAAGCAGCATCTGAAGAAGATCATTCAAGGAACCTATGAGGCGAATGGCATCGAGATCACTGAGCAAGAGATCGGGGACATCGCTCATTTGAGTATGCAGATGTCAGCAGTAGATATCATGGAGATCTACTCGCCCAAAAGGTTCACTGCGCTTGCAGAGCGCTACAAGTTGCGACCGGGTTTTGCGGTCGACTTGAATGAAATGAAAAGTGATGGAACATACTGGGACTTGAACAAGCCTGAAGATGTTCAAGAGGTGCGCGACATCCTTGAGAAGGACGAACCTGCCCTTTTGACTGGTTCGCCGCCGTGCCATATGTTTTCACAGCTCCAGAACCTCAACTGGAGAAGCATGGCACCGGATGTCCGGAGGAGAAAGATGGACGAAGCCGTCCACCATCTCCATACGAGCGTAGAGCTGTATGTCAAGCAGCATCGCTCAGGGAGAAAATTCCTCCACGAGGCACCTTGGTCCGCGACTAGTTGGAAGGACGAGAAAGTTGCGGCCTTAGCAGAAGAAGATGGAGTGTTCATAGTGAAGGGTCCAATGTGCAGGTGGCAAATGATGGCCACCGACCGAAGAGGACTCCAAGGCACCGGCTATGTGAGAAAGGAGACCGGTTGGATGACCAACGATGAAGGGTTGGCCAGAATCTTGCAAGGAGTCTGCACGAAATGTTTCGGGCAAAGGACCATGGCACCGACACATCCATCTGATCGGAGGCATTGCAAGGCAAGCAGCGGTATACCCACCGCCGCTCGTGAAGGCAGTGCTGAGGAGCCTGCGTGACACACTAGCTGAGAAAGGTGAGTTGAACACCTTTGATTTGTTTGCAGCAGGCCCAGTTCCAGAGATGCCTCTGATGGAACCTGAGCTCGAAGAGATTTACATGGATGATGTGAACGGCGGCATTTTGCCAACCGAGAAAGTGAAAGAGGCAAGACGCCTTGAAATGAATTATTTGAAAGAAAAGCATGGTGTTTATGTGACCCGGCCGAGAGCCGAATGTTTTGAGGAAACGGGGAAGCCCCCGATTCCAGTCAGATGGTTGGACACCAACAAGGGAGATCCAACAAACCCAAACTATAGGAGCCGATTAGTTGTGCGTGAGATAAAGGCAAGAAAGACCAAAGAAGAACAATTGCCAGCCAACTTGCTTTTCAGCAGCACGCCCCCATTGGAGGCGATGAGACTGCTGTGCTCGTTGTGGGCAACAAAGAGAAAGTCCTGCCACAACCAGCCGCTGAAGCTGGGCTTGTGGGACATCTCACGAGCACACTTTTATGGAACTCCAAAGAGAAAGATCTACATAGAGCTGCCGCCTGAGGACGAAGCCAGTAAAGATGGACAAACCTGTGGACTTCTCGTGAAGTCGATGTATGGAACACAGGATGCTCCAAATATCTGGCAGACGCACTACACAGAGACTCTGCAGAAGGCTGGTTTCCGCAGAGGCTTGTCAAATGCGTCAGTCTTCTACCAAGAAGCTTGGGACGTCAGAGTGATGGTGCATGGAGATGACTTCCTAGCACTTGGAGACGCCCAACACTTGGAGAAGCTTAGCCAAGTCCTCAAAGATGCCTATGAGCTGAAATGTCTCGGAATTCTTGGAGACGAGGATGGAGACCGAACAGAAGCTCATTTTCTGAATCGGTTAATCCGAGTCGAAAAGAAGAACGGCAAAGGATCAATTGTGATCGAAGCCGATCGGAGACATGTTGATCTTTTGATCCAGACATTGGGTCTGGAGAAGGCAAATGGTGTAGAATCACCAGATGTCAAGAAGTCGGCAGATCAGCAGATGCTGGAAAGCCGCAGTCCGCTGCTTGATAAGAGCGAGGCATCGAAGTATCGTTCAGCAACGATGCGTGCTGCGTACTTGTCCCAAGATCGACTCGATATTGGGCACGCAGTCAAGAACCTTGCTCGAGGTATGGTATCACCAACAGAAGCCAAACTTGCTGACTTGAAGCGTCTCATCAGGTACTTGAAGAAATACCCTGATGTTGGGCAATGTTTTGGTTCGCAGCAGATACCCTCAAGGCTGAGGGTGCAGGTCGATGCCGACCATGGTGGTGACGCTGTGACGCGCAAAAGCACGACTGGCATGGTTGCTATGTACGGCATGCACGTGTTGAAACACAGTAGTAACATCCAATCCACTGTAGCCCTTTCTACAGGTGAGAGTGAATACTACGCACTTGTGAAAGGAGGATCTGTGGGCTTAGGCCTCCAAAGCCTATGCGCAGACCTTGGTTTGGATTTGGGAGTCACCATCGAGGGCGATTCCAATGCAGCCAAAGGAACTGTGAATAGAGTGGGTTTGGGTAAAGCCAGACACATCCAAACTCGCTACCTATGGTTGCAAGAAAGGGTCGCCGAAGGCCACTTGAAAGTGCACCACGTTCCAGGTCTCAAGAACAAAGCCGATGTTTTGACCAAATCGGTTCCTGGGGTGCAGCTTCGCAAAACCATGGAGGACCTGCAGTATGCATTCCTCAGCAAGCGAAGCAAAGGACAGTTAGATGTTTTGGAGTAAGGTCCCTGGCCAAGCTCCACTACCACAACTGAAAGTGGCTAAGCAGCGAAGAGTTTCACATGTTTACTTTTATGCTTGCGCAGCAGTACAGTGCTTTGCAAGAGGAGGTGTGTTTGTATGTACAGCCCATATATACTCCGCTAGGGTACTGCAGACACGTGACTCTTGACGTGTTTTGGCTCAAGGGAAAAAGGCGTTCCGTAACGTCGAAACCTCGCTTTCACAGTATAACTGCCAAAAAAAAACACATGTCAAATTATCTCCACGTGCTAATGTCGCTTGCGACTACTTTGCGCAGACCCTTAGAAGAGTAGGTCAGAAGTACATGTGGAAAAAGAAAGACCACATGGGAATGCCCATTCTCACCCATTCCAACTCTTTCTTTGTGTTTGATGGCATGAGCTTCAAAAGATAGGACAAGCCTGTCCGGACCTTCCATCTCGTGAGGCTGGACCAACTCCGACCCCCGAGTGCTGACGATCGTTGGCGCCTCAAACCAGGGACCGTTATGAAGACATTCAGTTCGAAGATGGGGTCGGTCTATTGGGAGGCGATGTTTGGATTGGAACCGTTGAAAGCCGACGGGGAGACGGACTGCTGGGGCCATCTCCGGACTGAACGGGCGACGGGGATGATGTTTTGAAGGATGTTTGTGAAGTTTGTGATGTTTTCGTGTTGTTTCGATGAAGGTTCCTCGAAAGTAAAAGATCCTGCATTGGACTGCAAAAAGATCACAGTGCACAGCTACACGCATTGTCCAGGCGACGTTTCTCTTTGATTCCGTTTGCAGGTACCTCTCCGACCACCCAACAGGGGAAGGAATTTGCATTAGAATTATTAGAACAGGTTGTGAAATTCCAGCGCATGTTGAATGCGTTTTGTCATAGGAAATCCTGCCTCCAGACTGCAGTATGGCCCAGTTTGGTATAATCATCAACCTGTTGCTGCTGCAGGTCTTGATCCAGCTGCGGGTTTTGCACGAGATCCCCTCCAGGACTTTGCAAAGGTTCGTGGTCAGAGCGTCGGGGCCTCCGTGCGAATTGTGTGGCGCATGAGCGTTGTGGTTTGAACGGGTGAAAAGGTGTCGATTCAAGCTGAGAAACACCGTGGTTTCTCGAGAGAGACAGTGACAATCATGTGCGATCCAGTTTCTTTTTAATTCAAAATGGGGGGTATATTTTAGCGGGATGTTTTGTTGTTTTAGTGGGATATTATGTTTAAAGGCTTAGCTGGCGGGAGGAAGGAAGGAAGGAAGGAAGAAAGGACGGCAGTTGCAAGACATTGCCCAGATACGCAGCGCAGAGACCATTGCAGTTCTCAAAGGAAGATTCATTGGGGGAACTCCGTGACATCTGTTCTTTGGTCGTGCCCAGTTACAGCAACACAAACCAACCAACTGTGCCATGGTTGTGAACTGGTCAGACTGCTGTTGTTACTAGCTTTGCATTGCGGGGGGGGGGCTGCGCCCTCCCCGCGCCCCCTCCCGCTTTTAAGTTTTAAGCGTAGAAATAGTTTCGGGTATAGCAATCTAGATCTCACTCAAGCGTCCACATGCCGCAGCCTTTGAAAAGGACATTAAAAAGGACATTTGAAAGGACAGTGACAAGGAAATAGCATGAAATAGCAAAGGATTGCTTAAAGGAAATTTAAAGGGAACTCAAGCAAATGTAGAAGGATATTTATAAGGACAGTTTAAGAAAAAACAGGGAAAACATGAAGAGGAAAATTACAACAACATGTTAAAAGGAAATTCCGAACGACAAATAAAGAACTATCAAAGGACATAAGACATTTGGAAGGGAAATTCGAAAGGAAATTGAAAGGACATTTGAAGGGACATTTCAAGCAGGCACTTTAGCAAAAATGTCACGGTATATTTTAAAATTAAAAGGCAAACAATACTATAAGGACATTTCACAAAAACACGTTAGAATGAATAAGCAAGACATTTAGAAGGGACATGAACAGGAAATTTAAAAATAATTCTAAAAAGGACATTTCCATTGAAAAGATACATTATAAGGAAATGTAGCAAAAAGACTACAAGGACATGTAAAAGGAATTGTTAAAAGAACAAATATTTAAAAATAATTCAAAAATCAATTAGACTTTACTAAATTCATCAAAAGTACAGAAGACTAAAACCAACAAAAATATCATACTAACACAATCGATCAAAACTAGTTGAACATCAATCAGAATCAACTAAGAACACATGAAAACTACAAAAGACTAAAGCCTCCCAAAAAAAAATACCACTGAAACAATGGATACCTCAATTAGAATTGATTAGACACTCTTTAAAACTACAGAAGACTGAAGCCATAAAAAAACATATCCCACTAAACAAACACAAATATCCCGCTAGAACTCTGCAACCTATTCAAGATTGTTCCAGGAACTGGGAGGGTTGTGCAAGTTACCCCAATCCCAAGTTCCAAGGGCCATCCAATGTGACAAACCATGGCTGGGTTTGTGCACCATTTGGAGTGGGCAGGGTTTTACCCCTTGTAGGTATGCAAGTGCAACATCTATCGTGTTGTCGGTACTGCGCAGGAGTATGTACAGTGCTAACTGCTTAGCGATTCATACTACTGTAGTGATTACAAATGATGCTGTTTGGAAAATGACACTGTGAACTAGTAGGATTGCACCACACCTGAGTTTCGCATGGCAGCACCAACAATTACAAACGTGACATTGTGGGGATCAGCAAATGAGACGAACAAACGCGACTCACATTGGGTACCAACAAAGGTCTCTTGGAATCTTCCCAACCAACGACTGGTGACTTTTTCCGCTTTTCTCGGCCGCGCGCCGGCTGAGGCCTGAGGGCATCATGTTCAATGAAGATCCCGCTAAGGCTGTGTGAATCGGGGTGGAGTGTATATACTGTATATATATTATATATATATATAGGTGACATGCTGGGCAGAGTAGGGTGGAGGCACCCCATTTTTTCATGGCACCTGTTAGTAGGTGAATGCTGCAAAGGTTTGAGCATTCTTGCCTCATGTTTCTGAGAGTTGTCTGGGGAAAGGGCTTTGAACCACAACCAAAATGAACTCAGAGTATACAATGATGTGCAGCATCATGACAAACCTGCCAAATCTGTTTTAACAGATGACAATCATGAGGTGTGTATATATATATAGATAGAGAGAGAGAGAGACATTTGTTCTCCTTAAGCTTAGTTGCACACAGCCGATCCGTTTGGAGGGAGTCACTTTCTCGCTCGGTTCCCTGCCGGGTCCAAACGAACTGCTGTCCGCTCGCCGGACTGAACCTTACGAAATCGAAACATCGTTAGGATCTGTAGATGGGAAAATCATATAATTAGACACCCATACACCAACACCATCCAACACCAAACTGGTGGGCTCCGACTTCAAGTCTCTTTCTCTGATTTGGATGCTCCGTGTGGTGTAGGTGGCAGGTCTCGGTTCGGGGGAACGGTTCGGGGGGCAGGTCTCGGTGCTACCCAAAGCTTTGCCTTTGCGCTTGGCCATCCCCACGCAAGTGGCTGGGGATTTGCTGCCACTCGGTCTGATTCGAGATGGCGGAATGTGGGCGTCACAGATGAGTCCATCGAGTTGCTGGGGGAATGATTAGTGTATTTCTGAGGATAGAATCACAGATGCTTTGTCAAGATTGGATCACATTTTGCAATGTTCGACCGTCTGATATATTTAATATAGTTCAGGAATGTTCAGGAGACCATTTGCAAGTAGAATGGCATAGGATGGCTATCATGCTGCTGCTGGCACGATTTATTGTCACCAACCAATTGGATCCAATCGAATTAGTCGATTGCTCACTACCTTCAGATTGGTCGATTGTTCATCAGTCAAGCACACATCCGCCCAGGTCTTTGTTCTTGGATGAGCAGTCGCTGGTGGACCGGCGCTCAGAGAAACTGGTTTTGCGGATTGGACAAAAGTCAACCAGACTCAGCACAGCCCAGGTTGTGGTTGCAGTTTTTTTGGCCACCTCAGCCACCCATGGTCCCATGGTGCACAAGTGAAACTTAAGGCTGGAGAATGTGTCTCAAGCCGAGAGTCACAGAAACTGACCGTTAAGAGTCAGCGCCTTGAAGTTTAAAGCCTCCTATTGTCGAAGGTGTGGGGCCATGGCCCTGAAGGTGCGCCAAGAACGAACCTAAGTGATTCATGGCAACTCCATGAGCCTTGGTTGAGTCCTACACCAGCAACCCGTGCATCAACAAATCCCAAAACAGGTGCCAGAGCACTGCCAGAGCCACTTCAATCCTCGGGTCCTGCCAGGTGCGAAGAAGCTGTCAGACACCATTGGTGAAAAAAGCAGGGCTGAGACATGGACCTTGGGTACAAATACTGAGGAAAGAACGTCTCAAGTTCTGGTTTGACTGAGGAGATCGGCACCTACAACATCCGCTTCGAAGTCAGCAATCCCAGTTGGGGATCTCAGCCTCAGTCACGCCGCAGGTGTCAGGTGTAGCGCGCGGGCGCGTTTCCCGACTGAGTGCAGGAAGTGAAGGTGAATGTGAACATCCATGGCGACGAAAGAGGACTTGTTATTGATCGACTTGTCTCATCATGAGCGACATGAGGGGAGCCTCCCAAACAACTGGGGTTATTTATATAACTGATGGGTCAATGGGTTCTTCTCAAGGTCCTTGCAGGACCCATTGGGAAATACATACCTGCATATACATACAATTTCTTGGAAGAGTTGGAAGTGCGACAGTTTGTGTGTATGACACGAATGGTCTACCGGTCTAGGTTTGGTTCGTGCTTTGTTGCACCAGCCAGACACATGACCCTACGTTGTTTCGTGGGTTTCTTTCGGGTCAGTGAGAGCCCAATGGTGAAGAAGCAGGAGGAGGTTTTTGAAAGAGACCAACGGTTTCATGGATTCCATTTGCTGGCCTTGATATCCCCCAATGGGGAAATCAAGAAATACAGAAACATGCATGGGAAAAGTACCCACCAGCTATTTCTCATTGATCCTGTTAGGCTCAAGTAGACCTGTACGGTCCCCCGCTGCTCCCATTCACTCCCGACGCTCCACCTCCTCTCCGGTCCTAGTAGCAAGGCACTTGTTACTACTAGCTTCTTGCTCCTAGTAGCGATGCACTTGTTACTACTAGTAAGGCACTTGTTACTACTAGCGTGGCACTTGTTTCTACTAGCTCCTTGTTACTACTAGTAAGGCACTTGTTCCTAGTAGCGATGCACTTGTTCCTAGTAGCGTCCTGACGGCCTGCCCAGCTGTCTACCCGCACGACAACACCTGGTCCATCTTCGCCATGAAGGACATCACGGTGGAGTTTGTGCATGTCTTGACAGGCGGAAGCCGAGCGAGCTTGCGGCGGCTGTGCCGTGCGGTCGGGCCATGAAGACTAGTTCAAGGATCTGGCAGGTGATCAAGGTCTTGTCCACGGAAAGACTATGAATATGTTTCCCATCACTATGAAGACTATGAATAGTTACCAGATGTGTTCGGGTTGGTCCAAAGATATGTTCGACTCCTTGAAAAGCATGCCGACAAAACAGCTGACCCAGCATCATGCCTTCATGCGGGAAACCATGGACCTATATATAGTGACCCCAAACAAGATAGAAGAGTCAATAATATTGACTTATCACCCTTTATATAGACTTCTTAAACCTTTGTTTACATAAAGTTACTGTGATTGTAGACATCATCAACCATTGAACAGACATTTCCATTTTGGGGGGGGACTGGTCTGCCAAAACAAAGGGGTTGGTCTGAGTCCTTGTCTTTCTCCCAGCCGCCACTCTCACCGGTGGCAGGCTACTACGAGGGCCAGGCCTCGCCCTTTGACATCAATGTGGCGGGGAAGCTCAACGACGCCGGGGCACGGCGGAGGCACGGCGGGTGCAAGTGCCTTCTTTTGAGGCCGTGGCATGATAAGAGGCACGCCATCCATATATTACCTATCCAAATGAGTTGATAAGACATGGATGTGGAAATGGCCCTGTGGGAATGCTGAGTTCCGGTACACAAGGGTCGTTTTCCACTTCGATCAAGGGGGTGTCAGACACAAGATGGCTCGGCTGGGTCCCCGGCCAATGTGGCCAGTGGCCACCAGTTGAACCTACTTGTGCCTTTGGATACTTTGCCTGAAACTGCACCCAGGAACCTTCACTTCTGATCTTGAAAAAGATCATAGATTCCACTTAGTTGGAAGGGAAGCAGGTCCATCTTCCGGTTGTTCCAAGACCACTCGGCGAATGTCGGCTGAGGCAACACAGGCTCAGACCAGCGCAGCCGGAACCCCGTTCCGCTTGCAGCAGGGTGACCCAGATGCGCAGACGTTCGGCTTGAGAAGAGAGTGCACACCCAGATCTGGGTGTCTGGAAGAGGATTCTCCAGGCAGATCCTTCACGAAACAACATCTGATCCACCGTCTCACCTGATCCACCATCTCCAAGGGTGCTCCTGCTTGGACTCCGATGGAGGTTTCTAATCGTATAAGAGTGAGAGTTTGGGGGCAGTCGCCCCGAACGTAGCGTCCTTTGCTCCTAGTAAGGCCCGAACGTAGCTTCTTGTTACTAGTCGTATGTCTTGTTGTCACGGTGCAGAGTCGATGCCCTTGTTGCATGTGATTCCAGACGGACCACCTTTTTGGACCACCGAAAAAAAAAAAAAAGAGGGAGAGACCAGTTGTTTTTGGCCAAACATTTTGGAGATTATAAATAGGCTATACGTATATATATATAATTATATATATACACATGCAGTCACATGCATCAAACTCATGTATCAATGCTTACTTTGGGTGTGTAGTTGCCTCTCCTTCCGACACTGTTTGTTTCTCGACTCTTCTTCTAGTCTACAGGTTCAGAATGGGTGGGTTCTAGTCACGGTCCTCATTGCCGAATAATGCTTTTGAACCATGTTGAACCTGCAGCTTTGGGCTGACCATCGCGTTTCTTTTCCTGCCAGTTCCACAGGCTCTTGCTGACCGTCGTGGTCGTCATGGCGATATTCCGGATGTGAGATGTTCAGGTGGACTCCAAAGAAAAGCACACCATGATGAACTAAAATAGTATTTTATTATCCCACCTCGAATCACTGCTGCGAAAGGCGAGCATACAAAGCTTCACCCCTCAACCTCTATCCAAAGCACCAAGCACCAGTCTAAACTCGGTTCATGCTGTTACTTACGAAATTCGTTGCCATTGTCCCTATACCAATTTGGAGGCCATCAGAAAAGCAGAAATAGCAGTTGTACAGTGGAGGTATTGACAAAGCACGCAATATCATGCATGGTCATGTGGAGACGTGTCACCTGCCGAAGAGGCAGCAAGCTTATGTTTATGGGAAGCAAGCTGTCCCTCTGTGAAGCAAGTTGTGAAAGAAGCCATAAATATGCTAATTATGTATGTTTATGAGTATGTTGATGCTTGGGAAGGGCTGATTCCATGATGTGCATGACGAGTCAATTGGTGTATGTAACCAGACTTCTGGTCTTTGCAGAGGGCAAGATTTCCCATGACCCCTCAGAAAGCAGTGGAACTGGTGGCACAACACCGATTCCCTTTTTCAGCTTTCATGCATGGGATTTGTTTGTGGGGTGATTAGGGGCCTTGTGGCTATGCTGGCTATGCCAGCACCAGTGCCAGCACCACAACCAGGCATTCGGCATTCATCAACAGAAGGTTTCCTTCACTCCCACAAAGTCTTCCCATTCACTCGTGCAAGTCGAGACGACTCCGCAATCGGACGTCTTTGCTCTCGCACGGGTCGACCGCGCGCCACCCATGCACGACGCATCAGTTGAATCCGCTCTCGCCAAGTAAAAAGGCCAAGGCTCGAAGGGACGTGGCTAGTAGAATCAGTTGTGGCGCCAACAACACCTTTATACTGACCAGCTACGTTCCTTCAAGTCATTGACCCCCGCATCATTGCTGTCACTGTCACCGATGGCTGGGGGGACGAAGCATCAGGAAGCCCTTTGGAGCGACACGTTGTGTCGGAATAAGACTGAGTCTTCAAGTGCGTTCTCAGGAGCTTGGAGCCTTGGGTGCGCCATTGACTTGAAAATTAGAGAAGGGACCGAGGCAATGGTGATGCATTCTCATGATTTCCTCGCATCATCACACGTCTCCGAACACATGGACCATATTGAAGATTGAATTGACGTATATAGTAGAATTATGTATAGACATGTATAGACGTAAAGTGACGCAGTGGGGCATATCAGGGTTCGGTGACGACCAACTCAAGCCTGTTTTGGATGTTATGTCTTTGGGCAAGCAAAAAGCGGCGTCATTAGATGCCCCTGTTAGCTGAATTCATGCCAACGCCCCAACAATCGTCTCCTATGAGCATCTATGAAGTCAAGGAATGCAATTCTCTCATATTGTCTCCATTTGAGGTGTGATGCTGGAGAAAAAACGCGCAGATATCTTGCACGGTACTGCGAACCAATTCTGTGAAGCTGCAGCTGTCGCTTTCAACTTGACCCCGAAGCGCTAGTGTTTCGCCTAGAAGCCTGATGGCAACGCAGGAGTGCCTTGACCCGAAATTGCTTTAGTGGAGTGAACGAGCTTGATAGAACGAGAAAAGTCGATGTTTCGGAGCAAACATGAGAAAACACAATATGACCCTTCGATGTGTGCCGTAAATGTCCCATCCACACCAACATTGGTGAGAGTTTATAGATGTGCAAGGTCAGTTGTGGGCAAGAGTGAAGGACTATTGCTCAAGTGAGGACACCCGACCATTGGCTTATTTTTTATGTTCAACGACAAAACTCTGGAATAATTCAATATGACATCCTCCTTTTTTTTCGACTCCTTTTTTCTTGCTAGTTACTATATACCATGTCTATTACCCCCGATTTGGGGTCGTCCCCGTTCGTTTGAACGCCTGACGCAACACCTGGTGCTCAGGTCGGTTCTTCTCCCTGAGGAGGATCCCGAGGCCGGTCAGATGGGACGTTTCAGTCGAACACGGTCACAGGCATGGCGGTCACGGTGCCCTTGTTTAAAACATATCTAATCTAATTGTATTGTGTGCTTGCGTATTCATTTAGAGTTTGTTGAGTGTGTTTTCTTCTGGTGTTTTGTTTAGTGTTAAGATGCATCATACTCATCCAGGACACATGCTGGCTGCATGTGTTGGCCTGCTTCACCACTTGCTGTTGGCCATCGGTCATGTGCAGTTCAGTCCTGGGTGACCAGCAGAGCAGCAGTCTGCCTTTCCACACGAGTCTGACCATAGAGAAGAACAACAGCTGGTACGCACCAAGAACGAACAGCAGCAACCGCAGCTGCAACAGCAGCTGCAAAAAGACCATCATCACGGCAACAGGAATGGTTACGGTTACGAGACTACAAAAAAACGAAAGAAGAAGAAGAAGAAGAAAGAAGAGCAAGAAACGATAAGAAAGAAGAAGAAGGAGAAAAGACTATAAGAAGAAGAAGAAGAGGAGGGGAGGAGGAGGAGGAAAACAAAAAGAAACAGACGCGGAATCGGGAGATATCGGATCTCCCTGCCAAGGTGGAACTGCCAGTGGAGCCCATTCAGGAGCCGGTCGAGAACTCGTGCTGCAATGCCAGGATGGTGATAGGTTGGTATAGTTATAATATGTTATACTATAATGGATCTTCATGGAGTGGTTTCCAGTTTGGCATGTTCTGTGGGTAGACCTTGAAATGGAGTTCTGTAGATATAGAGAGAGAGAGATGGTGTGGGTTGGTGCAACTATCAGGTTTTGCTGTGGAGCAAGGTACTATCAGGTTATGCCACGAGATCTTGGTTCTGATTCACAAACCGTAGACACCCAGCTCCCTGACGGATTTTCCATGAAACAAATGTCGGCAATGTGTCCATTTGCAATGTGGTGGCTGTTTCGAGTGTCAAATTCAGAACCCCGCACCAGGGATGTCTTGTGTGCCCCATATGTCTGTTGAGGGCCCGGGGGTCCACTTATTAACCACCCACAGGTTGGGGGTCCTGTCACACACAAGATCTTGAGGACTTGCCCTTTATCATCCCTTATCAAGGACTTGCCCTTCTAATTGCTTTCGAACGACCGTCTTTTGCTTGAGGAAACGACCAACTGGCTGCTTCAATTGGGAGGAACCCTTGGTTGGCAGACAGCTTTCCTTGGGTCCATCAGTGTTTGGATGTTGACCCTTTTGCAAACCTTGGAAGCTCGAAGCTCGCCGTTCGTGGTGGTGTTCTGCCAAACGGTGAAAGATGAGCTCTTAGGGCCGGATGGGGATGGGGAGGACCGGACAAAGCTTCCCTTCAAGAAGCTTCTTCTGGCAGGCGCACGGGTTACGAAAGGGAGGGGTTGGGCTCAAGGTCCTTTACTCAATTCATCTCTGCTGGCTTAATTCATCTCAATTCCATGCTTCCCGGTTAAACCGAGGCTTTCACTTTTCTGTCTACGGGGAACAAGGGGTGAAGAGTGAAGAGAAGCCTTGAACGATAGATGCTGCATGATGCTGCATCGAAATTGTGGAGGATGGACGCATAACATGATCAATCTTGATCATCCATCCATGATATTCCCACCCGCCATACGCAGGTTTTGGTCGTCCAAGTGGCGCAGCAGTTCATCCATGTTCTTCAATGATTGTCGATCACTACCCCCCAGGTAAGCCAGGAAGGACAACCCATGACCCAGCTAGGTGCCATAAGAGGCATGTGAACTCATTGGAAGAGTTCGAAACCCATGAAGAGCCCCAAGGGCCAAAACGCTTCGAATGGAGTGTTGTCGTTGCCTCCATGGGGGTATCCCGGAGTCAGGCGATGTTTTGAGTACATTTGTACATCGTCTTCTTCAAATCCTGGGGCCCTTGGGCATTTGGAAGAATCGTCTCCTTCATTAAACTCACTGGATGTTCACTGGGACTGAAGGGCGAAGCCAGGGGGTTCTGAAGAGAGGCAAGGGTCTCACTTGCGACACCAAAACTGACTCACTTGCGACACCAAAACCTACCCAGTACCCAGGACAGACTCACTTGCGACACCAAAGCGGACTCATTTGCACTACTACTACTACTACTACTACTACTACTACTACTACTACTACTACTACTACTACTACTCACAGGCACACGGGCACACCTTAAAATATGTATTGATTTCGTGGCAGGCGCGGATTTCGGAGATGAAGTGCAGATTTCGTGGCGCGGGGGGTTGGGGGGGGGCACAGTGCCCCCCCCAGCAGCACACCAGATCCAAAGGTGAGCACGGGCGCGTCACAAGTGAGCCAACAGCTCCGCATCACATCCGAGTCCGAAATCCGCGTCACAAGTGAGACTCTTTCCCTGAGGAGACATTGATCATTATAAAATCTTCTTTGTAACATAGAAACTGGATGATTTCTTACTCCATCACCCACAGTTTATCACTGGTGGAAAGACAGAGCTTTCCCGTGTCGAAGGGCTTGTGGGGTGGTGTTCCACTCTAGGTCCAAGTTGATCTAGGTCCGAGAACCATTTCACCGCAAGCCCCTAATGAAAATCATTTCACGCCAGCAGCTTAGGTCAACACCGGTCACTTGTTGATCCTTCGGTCCGTTGATCTCGGTCGGTTCGGTCCGTTGATCATGGTTTGCATGAATGGCTCGCCCGGAATCTGGTAGGTATACAGCGATTCATGTCAGCTCTATATAGCTCAAGGTAGGACTTCATGTCAGGATCCAGCAACAAACAACGATTCCGCGTGATTCCGCCAGTTTCGCAAGGTTGGAGTAGTTCTTCAGCTCAACTCAGTGATGTTTCCACCAGCAAGTATCGCAGTAGATTTTTCTTGATGAATTGAATGTGTGCAACCCGACAAGTCACAGCTATTCACAGCAAGTACAAACAGAGAACGGATGTTTAAACACTTCCGCCATGGCGGCCATTAAAGGCCAGAACACATCAGAACACCCAAACCACTGGTGCCACTGGAAATTCAATATGCGATCAGCGACAATCAAACACAAACCTGACTGCATCAACTAGTTCTGTGCGGATTTCACCCCACTTCATAACCTTCCACTTGGAAAACTTAAGTCAAAAAGG